AAAACGTAAAAAAGCATACCCTACCCATCCGCCAGCCTACTTGGACGCAACAAGAGAGTGTACGGTGATCAATGTTAAATGCCTCTGCAGCAGCCTAGTGGCTTCAGAATTGTCTGGATTTCAAGGCTTCAATAGCAAGCTGAAGCCTCCCTTCATGTTCAAGTAATAACGCGTTTGGTAGTTGAGGCATGTTAGAGAGAGAGAGTAGGTAGAGGGCTTGGCAAGTTTTGGGACACTCAGTGATGTGGGACACTCGGTGATAGTTTAGGTTATTAAATCTAGATACTGTTACTAAGTAAGGTAATAAGCACTTAAGATATTATGTTTAATAAAGACACAGTATTTAATAGGAGAATTAAGGACCTTATAGAGAACCTTATATACAACACACTTAAAGAAATAGTAATATATATATAATCTATTAAGCTACTAACACCTACCTAGTAACTAGAAATAGATTTCTTTTATAAGGATAAAGCCCTAGTAGAGCTATTACCACAAGACAAAGCAGACCTGCTAGGCTACTATCACAGACAGAAGATACAGGATAGCTATCCTACCCCTCTATTAACACTGCCACCTGCAGCACTACTTGCAGGCATTATAGCTAGTAATCAAACAACTCTGACGCAACAAGCATCCTTAACTACTATCCTGTAGGCAGCATTATTCCTTGTAGGAACCTAGGCTGGACGTGTTAGAACATACAGAGGAGAAGTTATAGATAAGGCTAAGATAATAAGAATACTTGCTAAAGGCTTAAAGCCCTATTAAAGTTAACTTCTACCTCTGCCTACGTTCTAAACTAAGCTTAAGGATTACCCTATAGGTAAACTCTTTTAAGAAGCTAAGTAAGAGCACCTTATAAGCTACTAAGAAATAAAATTATAGTTAGAAGTACTACTTTAGAAAATAAGACTAATAGGACAATAGATCCTTAACTACATGTAGGTATATACCTATAAGCTTAATAGACATTATTAACTACTAAAGTGCAAGGCGCAACTAGTAGTTAGAGGCAATTAACAACGCAATATTACATCACAAGACACCTACACAGCTATGCTTGCTAGCTAATCCTTTCAAACAATGATGGCTATAGCAGCTCACTATAACATAGAGCTTAAACAATACGACGTTACTAACGCGTTTGTTCATGCTATAATAGATAGAGAGGTCTACATAAGGATGCCACAAGGCTATTAGAAGCCTAGCACAATACTGCAAGTAAACAAGGCACTTTACAGCCTGCGCATCTCTCCCCTCCTCTAGCAGAAGAACTTTACTATAACACTAAAAGCACTAGGTTTCTAGACTGTGCCTTACAAACCCTGCTGTCTAACTAAGGGCAGTATTATTATCTTCTTTTATATTAATAATATTATCCTTGCATACAATAAATTAAATAAGCAAGAGGTAATGTAGATAATTAGCTATGTATAGAGTAAGTACACCTACACAGGAGGGCATAACCTATAGTAGTTCCTTAGCATAGAGATTATACAAGACTAAGTAAGCAAGAAAATCTACCTATCTTAGGCAGCGTACTTAGACAAAATTAGTTGCCTTGCTAAGAACACAACTATACAACATAACACTCCAATAGCAACAACTGAACTACAGCCAAGGAGTGGACTAGCAGCGCCAGCAGAAATCAACAAGTATCAACGCAAAATTAGATTACTACTGTTTGCTGCGGTTACCACGCGACCTGACATTGCGTTCGCCACATCAAGGCTTGCCAGGTTCCTCACCAATCCAGGCATCAGCCACCAAGATGCTGCGGACTGG